GCAATGTCACAAAATAGTCCATAGGGATCTTAATTGTCTTAATATTCCATAGGCATATGGAATGTGTAGGAACACTATCTTGATGACATCACACAAGTTTAACCTAGTAAATAGAAGTAACAACTTGTGTATCTGAGGGTGAAAATGCAACCCCACAAAGATTCCCCAACCTGCCCCACCAGTGACATTTTTAGGAGTCCAGGGATCTGGGGCATGCTGGTGCAAAATCTTTGAGGTGTTAGATCTTGTACCTTATTCTAGTTTTCTATTGTTACATTAAAAAAACCACAAAACTTAATGACATAAGTTTTTATTTCACTCATGGATTCTGTGGGTCATAAATTTAGATAGAACACAGAAGAAATGTTTTGTCTCTACCCTTTGATTTCTGCCAGCTTTTGTAAACCTGGGTCTATGATAGAATTCAGCCCTAATTCCCTAAAACATTCATTTGTATGGAATGAACTAATTTCTCTCCTATGTGTCTAGCATGGTATTAGTGATGTACTATACTTGGGAGGACTGAGAAAATAGTCATTCAACCCATTTTCCATCTTCTGTGGCTCAGATGAAGAACTCCAGTTGGGAAAGGCTGGCTAGAACCTAAGTTGGGAAAACTCGAATGGTTGAGAGTGACACAGACTGGACTGGAACCTTCTGGAGTCACCCTCACTTATATTTCTAATGCCTGCACTGGTTCACTTGAAGGCCAGGCTCAGGGAGGACCATCAACTGGAGTATCAACACACAGCACCTCCACATGGCTTAGACTATTCACAATGCAGCAGCTTTGGGGTAGTGGGAAGAGCACGGGTCTCGCTGGAAAAGGGAGAAACTATGTGGCCTTTTATGATCCAGCCTCAGAAGTCATCAGTATATCCTATTAGTTGAAGCAGTAAAAAGGTTAGCCATATTCTAGAGAATAGGACCTGCACCCCATCTCTTAATGGAATGAGAATCAAAGAATTTTGAAGGGTTTTAAAACCACCAAAATCTTTAGAAATCAAAGACAGCATATACCACACTTGGGAATATTGCTCTGACCTAGACCCATGTATGGATGACTTGGATGGCTGCCAGTTGTGAGTGTCACAGTCATATCTGCAGCAGATTCAGGCTGAGACACAAGTGGCCCTGTCATGCTAGATGACCAGCAGAGTTCATGGCGCTACTTATTGCAAATAAAGATATTGTGTGTACAGAGTCTCTGTGAAGTCCAATAAGGAGGGCTGCAGCACAGGTCCTGTGGCTCTGGAGCTCAGCCTTCCTTCTGCAGCAGAAAAGTCTATTCCATTTGAGAACTAGCTCCCCCACCTACCCCCCGCCCAGGCTCTGATAAAGATGAATCCTGTGACCTTGGAACATCAAGTGATCATACAGCCAGAGCCACCTGTGTTGAGCCAGCTGTTTTCAGATCCACAGTGTCAGTCACAATGGTGGGCAGGTGCAGCAATAATCTATCAGTCACATAATGAAAATGGGCCAGAAGAGATCCAGAGGGCACAAGTAAATTCCATCTGTCCCAGATTTCTGTGTTATCTACCTCCCTTGCTCAGTTCACACCTAAGGCCTTATAGTTCTCTACAACCAGCCAATGAGGAAAAAACTTGCACTTGGTTCATGGATGGATAGCCTGGACAAGTGGGCAGTAGTGAAAGAGGGATGCCACCAGACCACATCCCATTTCAGGGATGGCCCTGAAGGACAGTGAAGGCCGCTCCTCCCAGTGGGCAGAGCCATGAACCATGTACTTGCTCATTCTCTTTGCAGGGAGGGAGAAGTGGTCTGAGTTAAGGGCCTGGGCCCATTGGCAGTGCCGAATGGCTTGCTGGTTGGGTCAGAAGCCTCAAAGAAGCAAACTTGCAAAGGAAGTTTGGAGAAAACCACAAAGATAGACCTATGGGACTGGACACATAGCACGGGGATCTCTGTCTCACATCAAGGCCCACCAGAAAACCTCCCCTGCAAGTGCAGCACTGAATGACAAGGTGACAGGTTGTCCCAAGGATACCAGCCAGCCTCTCTCCCTAGCCACTCCAGGACATGCATGACAGAGGGGACATGAGGCAGGGATAGAGGCTCTGCAGGGCCCCAACACCGTGAGTACCATCTCACCAAGTCCAGTCTAGCAACTGCTGTACTGAGTGAATGTCTGATTGTTACCAGAGAGACTGACGTGGAACACTCCATGTGGCACACATCCCTGAAGGAGACCAGCCAGTCTTTTGTTGATAGATTTTTACATTACATATCTTCTGCCCTGGAGGAATCAGTAATTCATCTTTATCAGAATGGACACTTATCTGGACATGAGTTTGCCTGCCCCAATACCTGTGCTAGCATCACCATCAACTTAACCATCCTGACATACTTGCACAGATGTTTGAGGTGTTAACACTCCAAGGTCAACTCTTAACCCATTGGTGCCAGGAGCCAGAAGCCAGGAAATGGCTCCTCTCTTCTGTTCCTTGAAAGGACAGTCCTGAGATATGGTTTCTACAGTTCCTCCGAGGTCCAAGCAGGATGGGGGCCCACTTGACCATAATAGGGACCAGCTCAGTTTCCCATTCTTGGTACCTGTACTGTATTTCCCAAAATAAACCTCCCGCATTCATGCTCTTTTCTCAGGCTCTGCTTGCTGGGAGAACCCAGGCTAAGATTCTGTCCCATCCATGCTTATTCACAAAACAGGCTTCTTCTGCAAAGTGAGAGGTCCAGGTGTTATAGTTCAAAAATCTCCACTCATATTGGCACCAAGGTGTGTGTTTGTTTGGGTAGAAGAGTTTGGAGAACACAGAATAATCGGGGGGTTCCTGCCTAGGGACTGTGGAGGCTTTGGTAGGATTCTGTTCGTGGCTATGACACTCGTCGCACTGGTCTTCAGGTAGGCTGTGCAGGTGGCGCACTGCCCAAGGGGGCTTGGCTGAGGAGTGGGGGCTTCATTCACCAAGCAGAGCAGCCTGGCACAAGCTTCACCTGCAGAGGAAGATGTGCCTGTTCCTAATTTATACAAGGGACTGTCAGCTCAGTAAGCCATGCACCTGAGAGGCACTTCCACCCAAGAAGGGCACGTTTTCTAATCACCAGAAAATCCTCCTCTGGGCTAGCGAAGTCCAGCATCCACCTACACTCCCATCTCTGCTACTCACCTCTTGATGGCCCCACATTTGGTTCAAAGCTAAGAGCATTTTCTTGATTAATTAAAGACTCAGAACACAGATCCGGTCTAGAACTACTAAGTAAACCACACTTTTTTTTTTTAATTGGAAGGAACTTTAGAAATTATCTAAGGCTAGACCAAGCTCTCTATTTAACAGATGAGGAGACTGAGTCCAGAACCACTTCTGCATTGCCTCCTGCTCTCCCCAGGCCGGATGCCAGGTGCCAGCCAGGGCACTGCTCAGGAGCGGCCCAGCTCTGTTCCCATAGAGAACTGCTATCATTGAGTAAATGACCCCTTTCCTGAAAGCAACTTTATGATGATGAGTGAAATGAGAAAATGAAGCACCAACTGACATGGTACACACTTAGATTATACACTTTCACTTGTGCATGGTGTTTTTGGATGAGTTTCTGTTTTTTATGACACTAGGCAATCTCTTGGCTTTGGTTACCAGGCTCCTGTGAAATTGAGGCCATCTTGTTGCATTCATGTTATTTCAATGTACATTGAGTACCAGGTCAAAAAGGAAAAAGGAATGAAAGAAGAGACTGGTTGAATGGCCATTTGATTGTTGTGTTTTCAACAAGCCCTGGACACTACACTGGGGCCTTTGGACTCACTGGTGACACAGCTTTCAGCGTGTTCTGTTGTAGTTGGTAATTGATCATATTTCACTTTAAAATGAAAGATGAGACTGACAAAAATCTTGTTAGAAAGCCCCTGGCTAAGAGGAAGCCAAGAAAGAGATACAGGTAAGCTAGTTTCCCAGAAATAAAATAAAGAGCACGAGGGATCGAGATGCGGCCCAGGCTTAAAGAGTTCTTGAATTCTCGTCTGAGCTCTGTCACTTACCTTGACGTTCTGTGCTGACTTTTCCTCATTATCTTGCCCAGGTGGCTGTTCCCAACCCTATATAGGTTAGTAGATTAAATAACAATGACAACACGCTTGAGCGTGCCCCACTCCCCTCTGTGGCCCGAGCAGGTGGCTGAGCCCGAGTGCGTCCCTGCCATGCCTCCTTTCAGAGCACACTGTGCGGTCTAAGGACCCACTTGGCCGCTCGGGACCTGAAAGTCTCGCCACTCCGGTCTCCATTCTGTCTGATCTCAAGGAACATGAGCTAGAAGCAGCCGCACACCTGCCCCGGCCTGCCGCCGATCACTGCCGGCCCCTGCACTTCTCCTGCCGGGAGAGGGCAGGCAGCGAGCCTGGAGGAAGTGAGGTTTGAAGAACAGACGGGATTTGCACACACCGTCATCGGGCCATGGGGAGGGTCTTCCAAAATGTGCGGGACCCGTTTCGCATTGTGGGCGGGTAGAGAGGGCGATCCCAGCCCCCTGCTTGAAAGTAGCAGGGAGGGAACCGTGGGGGCAGGGGAGGGCCCTTTTGTGCAACACTGGACAGTGGTTCAGAGACGGTGCCCAGGAGCCCCATTTCCTGGTTAGAGTCCCAGCTATGCTGCTTATCAACTCTGTGAATTGAAGAAAGTATCTTAATGTCTCTGTGCCTCAGTTTCCTCATGTGGGAACTGGGGACAATAATAAGTAACATTTATTGACAGTTTGCTATGTGCCACACCCACCTCAGAACACTTTACTCATATTTATCCATTTAATCTTCACAACCACCCCATGAGGTAGACACTACTCTTGCCTCCATTTTACAGATGAGAAAACTGAGTCTCTTAGCCACTCAGTAGAGTGGTGGACAACGTCCCTTTCTTCATAGGGCTGTTGTGAGAATTAAATAAGTTAATCATATTGAGTGCTTAGAGCAAGCCATGCGTGCACCCCACTCCCCAGTAAGTGCTCATTAGATGTGCACAGCCACTATCACCCAGGACCTTGAAGTGGGAGAGGGCATGGAGCAGAGATGGGACAGCAGGAAGCAAGAGTCAGATCTGAGATAACAGGGTCTTCTTTTGCCTGGCAGTCCCCTCTTTCCACCAAGCAGCAGGGATGATATTATTGGGGTCCAAAGGTGCACAATTTTATCTCTGTATAAAATCCTACAGATAAATTCTATGCTCAGTTGGAGCTAGGTGATCTGTAATCCCATCTCCATGCGTTTGAAGCTCTGAGCACAGGCAAAAAACTCAAATCACTCAGCCCACAGTGCCCCAACAGTCTCCTTCATTGTGTTTTGGTTCCTGACTGAGAGACAGCCCTTCCCCACAGCCCCGCTGTGCCGCCAGACGCCGGCCTCCCTGGCTCACTCACAGTCCCTTGTCCGCGGGCTGCCAGGGGACCTGGCCTATGGGAGGCACTGGCGGGAACAAGAAGGCAGGAGGAAAGAGGCCGGGCTGTGTCTCCCCTGCCTCGCTGGTGTCTGACCATGGCTGAGACGCTTCACTACTGCAGCTCCCGTGGGGGCCAAGGGGTGGAGGTCCTGCACAGCCCCTGTCCCCCGGGGTTGGTGACTCTGCTTCCTCCTTTTGTCCCTTTGGCCCTGGGAGTGATCATGGCCCCACTCTGTGGCTGCTGTCAGGTGCCCCTTGCTTGCTCCCTGCTGCTTTCCCCAGCACCACAAGCCACGCCTCAACTCACTTCCTCACGGGCCATCTGGGTGACATGGGTCCCGGCCAGGCCCAGGCTGGTGCCCAACATTCAGGGCACCACTTTCCCCCGGAGGCCCAGAGGCAGAGCTGCACCCTGTCCATTCATTATTATTATAAAAGTCACTCTGCTTGAAAATGCCCAATAGTTCATTTTTCATGTTTATAAACACTAAAATTAGAGGTAATAGATGAGCGTGAAAAACAAAACAAGTATCACATATATTCTCAGCACACACTGTTTTTACCATGTGCATTTTTTCTTATCACAAAAAGATCACAATGCATCCACTATTGTTTACTAGCTTAAATATATCATGAACAATTTTCTTCATTAATAGATATACTCTGACATCAACGAATTTATTTACTAGTATCTCTAAGTCATAATTCTTAATGGTAGTGTTCTATCTAGGTCTGTACCATAGTTCAATCAGTCCTCTGTTAACAGACATTCAGGTAGGTTCCAATTTTTCTTTGTTATAAATACTGCTTCAATAAACATCCTTGTACAATATAAAATACTTGAAAATACAACACAATCAAGTCAGTCAGGCAAAAGCCGCACAGGTGCAGCGGCAGCATGGCCACCCCCACCTCAAAAGATAATGGCTTCTGCCTTCCCTGCCTCCCACTGATGCTGTGAGGGTCAACTGAGAACATGTATACGGAAGTTCTTTACAAACTGTGACGTGTACGGGGCGGCTATTCTAGTGTGATCTTATTCTTCCACAACAACCCCGCAAGGCAAGCACAGTGGATGTATCCTCAAGGCACATTGTACTGACAATTTTGCCAGACTTCAAGAATGGAAATCTTACCTTTAGGCTTTTATATATTTATTTCTCTTTAGCACAACAAAGAATTGTGTGTAAGAAAAGCCACCTTCCTGTACGAGAGTAAACGACCAGCTGGCAGTGCACTCTCTCTGTCCTGGTGCCTGCTAACTCATTGTGTCCCCTCGAGAGGACTGAGAGGACCCCTGCAATCAAGTGAAGGAATTCGAGTCATCCAAAAGGTCCTCGTGGCTCTGAAGTCCCTCCTGTAGTATTGGTTACCCCAACTCCTACAGCTGATTAGTCATAATGACTCCTTTCTGTTCCTTTCCTAATAGTCTCTTCTGAAAAGCACTTTAGATAACTCGGCTTGATTAAAAAAAAAATTGAGCAGTAGTTTAGACTTTTTTAAATGGGAACTTTCATGTCAAGTATAGAAGCTACACTGACATCTCACATGAAAACTACCCCATCACTCAGAAAGAGGCTCTCCATTTTGGATGGATTCTTGATTTACTTTCTGTGAATCTAAGTTCATGGATTTTTCTCTGCTCTTGCTAAGGCAATACTATTAAAATGTCAGAACACAGTTTCCTGGAGCAACAGTCTTACATAGTTTTCAATTCTTAATGAGAGGCATCAGACAAGTTTTTAAAATCTGACTTGAGTCATGCTTAATGCTATTTCTTAACTAGTATGAAAAGAAAAGGGTGCTGTGTGTTAAAGTGGTTCTATTCTACCAAGGTGAATGGTGTTCTGGGGCATGATATTCTATCTGTTCGCTTGTTTTCTATTTGGCTTTTCCACAAAAACTCAATAAAGGGGATATAAGCCTACTTTATAGTGTCAAAAAAAGTTTTTACTTTAAATCCCCATGAATTAAGAAAAGGCATAAAGCCTCCTCTCCTCTCGGACTCGTTTCCCAACTACTTGATATTTTTCTCTCTTCTGGGAAGGAGAGCAAGGTGGGGCAGGGCATGGCGTCTATGTGCCAAATGCAACTTTCCTTAATAGCACGGGAGGACCAGGGCTTGTTTTCCGAGAGTCAAGGAAACACCTGCTACCTAGTGAGACGAGTCTGATCCAGGGGTATTGGCAAGGAGAGGTGAGCAGGTCTTGCACAAAGATACTGAAATTCCTTTTGTTTCCTTCCTTCCTAATTTTGTCTCTGTAGATGTCTTGCTGTTTCCATGGGTTTATTCATTTCCATCACCACCACCACCACCCATCATTTTACAGTGGTGTATTCAACCAAAGAAAATGAGTAAGAAAAACAACTATGATAGTAAAAAAAACAATAAAAACAGATCCAAAATTGCCATATGTGAGGCCCATGGGAGTCCCTGATTAATTTTCATTTTCATTGTTTAGTTCTGAGTTTGGCCTGTTTCGGTAAATGTGAGAATAAGTATGTCATAGACTTGATTTCCTTGTAGCTTTAAAAAAAAAAATGAACCATCTCGAGTCTCTTTCTTACCATGATGGATTCCTGGAAGGCAAGAACTGTAACTCTATGAGCAAGTGGTCCCAATACCACAGTGGCAGAACTTTGTCACATAGCAATTCCCAAAATGGGAATTTTGGTAGATTTTAGAAAGCAGCCAGCTAACCTTAAAAGCATCATGTTTGGAGGCAAAATTGTGCATTCTTGTTTGTCTCTCTTATCCTTTCTTGGATTCATATTCTCCTACACATTTGGGGTGCTTGAAACACTGACCTGAAAAAAATAATCAATTAGCAAATAGTTATGGGGAAAGGACACTCAAGGAGTCTAGTTGAAAAAAAAATTACTTGCATGATAATTGTACAACAAGTACTTGTAGAAATGCAAAAGTGGGCCCGGCATGGTGGCTCAGATCTGTAATCCTAGCACTTTGGGAGGCTGAGGTGGGAGGATCACTTGAAGCCAGGAGTTTGAGACCAGCCTGAGCACCATAGTGAGACCCCATCTCTATAAAAATAGAAAAATTAGCCAAGCACCTGTAGTCCCAGCTAATTGTGAAGGTGGTTTGAGCCCAAGAGTTCAAGGGTGCAGTGAGCTATGATCACACTACTGCACTCCAGCCTGGGTGATGGAGCAAGACCTCGTCTCAAAAAAAGACATTTCAGAAGTGGAGAATCACTATATTTTGGGGAAAAATTAGGAAAGGCCAACTGTAGGAGCAGAACTGTGAGCTGAGCCTTAGATAGGTAGGAAGGCTGGATGTGACTCAGAAGGTGGACAGTAGGAGGGAAGATGTGGCTTTTGAGGGGTACAAGTTGACAGAGGTAAGGAGGTAAGTTTGAACACTTATGTTCAGGAGACGGCAAGTCTGACTACAAAGGTGTTTTCATGGAGAGGCAGTGGCACCTAAGAGGGACATGTCATTAGTATAAGCTAGTTCATTGAAAGAAAGCCTAGGGGATTTGGACTTCATCCTGCAGGCAACAGAAAGTCACTGGACATTTTTGGGCAAGAGAGAAGCAAGGAGAGAAATGTCTTTAAATACGACTAATGTGACAAAAATGGTGTCAGGAGGCTCCTGTGCAGTCCAGCTGTGAGGCCATGAGGCCTGGGAGAGAGTGGGAGGGGACCTGACCCCTTCCAAGGAGGCTGGACAGAAGTCTGGAGGATGTTCAGGGTCCCCTCATCCCTTCAGGAAACACCTCTCAGATAAAGCTTTTTCACTTTCTCTGAAAATCTTCCAATTCTATACCCCTACTTGGCCCTTGACAGTCTGATAAACTATGCTGTGCTAAGATGTTATGGGTAGGTTATGACTTAAAGTAGGTGCAAGATAACAGAAAATTGCAGAGTGATGAGACAAATTAAGCAGAGGGCACCCTGTGAGAGATAACGCCTCACCGAATGCCTTCAAAACATATCTAGCAACACACAGTGTTTAATAGTAAGAAACAAAAAAATTGGGGTGTGTGTAGGGATGGAGAATTATACAAGATTCTATTTACTCAGCATTTTTCTTCAAGTTGTGGCATTTGGGTTGTGGCTGATTGCTATGACACCAAGAGAAAGCAAGTTAGTTTGGATTGTCTCATTTTTCTGCTTTCCAAATTACATAGATTGCTCAAGGTCTTTGCCCTCCCCACATCTGGACTTCAGGAATGAGTCATCTAAGGAGGCACCCCCAAACAGAAGTTTCTGCTCTCTGCAGTTGCTCTAATGGGTACTCTCTACATGGAGTGCCTGTTAGACAAATTGGCAAAGAAAACAGAAGTTTCTAAAGCAATCATGCAAATTTTTACAGGCTTAAGGTCCCAAAAAAAGGACCACCGGCATCTGCCAGGGAGAAGAAACTTGCCTCTAAGAACGTTCTCTCCAGCCTTCCATGTTTCCTTCCATGACAGGCATCCGTGGGGTGACAATTAGGTGTGGTGGGTGGGCCTTTCTGTGGGCTGGCAGCCTATTTTAACTTCCAACTGTGGGAGTGAGCTTTAACTCTGTGCTAAAATTAGGGGAATCCAGCAACTCCTGTGGTTATTTCAATCAGTTCCCACTTATTGAGTAGCAGCGGCACAGTTAAGTAATAACACGGTAACCTTGCCAAGGCATAAATGAAACGCGGAGTGTTGCCCAGTTGGATCTGAAATCGCTTTAGTGATCTAAGTGGTGAGCCAAACCGACAAAAGGGCTGCTGGCCCCTCTGGGGGTGGAGGGGCTGGGGACACGGAATAGAATCCCTGGAGCGGCTCCTCTGATGCTGGCGGGAGGTGTGAGGACGCAGGCACGGATTGCCTGGCAATCTAAATTTCGCTGAAGAAATGCCAAGAGCCGCAGTGGTCTGGAAGGCTTGGTTCGATCTCCCCCCTCAGAGAGGGCACAGGGCTCTGCCAGCGGATGCTGCCATCAGAGCCAGGGCACCCGACGAGATCTTGGCCCCTGGTGCTTGAGTTCGCGCCGCGGTAATGGATATAATAATGATCTAGATGAGCAGCATCCATGCCACACTGTGGAGAACGTTGTTCTGGCTGGCTCTACCTCGAGAGGGCGATTTTCTCTAGCTGAGACAGACGGAGGCCTAGATGCCAGCTCCCAGGTCAGACAGGCAGCCGAGGTCGAGAGAAGATGAAGAGGAGGAGGAGGGCAGACGCAGAAGACTTGAAGAAAGGCTCCGTGCGGGATGCTTGGAGCAAGGCCCACATATGCCCACTGGGTTAGGGTTAGAGTTGTGGGGAGAGACCTGTGGTGGCAGAGGTCATTGGTAACCACAGATTGATGACTCAAGGTTTTGGATCATGTAATTCACCTTCCCCACTCTTCCAGCTGTGTTGGCTGTTACCCTCTGAATGGGTAAGCTGACCCAAGTTCAAGTCCAGCCCACACTCCAGGGACAGAGTTCACACAAGGGCAGGAATGCCAGGAGGCAGGGTCATGGGTGGCCATCTCAGAAGGCCTCCTACCACATTCGCCATGCTCATTTAGCTTATCCGAGAAGGCTGGGGAGACAGAATGCACAGCAGAAAAGAAAGAAAAAGGAAATCCACCTATTGCACTGCATGTCTGACAGTGGCTGCCAAACCTGGCTGCACTCAGAATTGATTACCTAGGAGCTTTGAAAATAGAATGATACCTGGACTCCACCTTAGATATTCTAATTTAATTGGTCTCAGGTGGGTCCCGGGCATCAGTATTTCTAAATCTCCCCGTGTAATTCCAGTGAGCAGCGAGCTTGGCAAACACAGACTTAGTCTTTCTAGCAAAGGTTAGGTAACGAAGGAGACTGCAGCTTTGACTGAACGAAAGCCTGGGCGTAAACTCTGAGGGTTTTCCAGGTGGAAAGGCGTGTTAAAGGTCGCCGGGTGGACGCCTCTCCCGGCCTAGCTGAGCGCTGACTCACCTCCATAACATCCGCGACAAGGACAGGTGCCTCGACCCCCGAGCCCCCTCCCGCCCCCACACACACACACGCGAGGCCAGGCCGCTCACGGAGGGACCCTCGGGCCACTCAAAGGTTACCTTATGTTGAACTGATTTCAATGATCTCTTCTATTCTTGTTCCTACCCTTTGAGTCTTAGTAGAAAGGCACAAAGAAAATTCCACATAAAGTTGTTTAAAAAAAAAAATCTAAGCACCAGCTGTGTTCCTGGATTGAAGGTTTGGCTCTGTTATACCTTCAAACAGGAGGACGCCTGCTGAAGCCAGAGGGACAGGTCTCAGCAGCCGGGAAGCTCATCTCCGTTCTCCACCCCCAGAAACCTGCCTGCCTACACTTTCCCCTCCTAACGGTCCTTCCCATGCTACTTTGACTTTTTTGTTCCAACAGTCACCTCTATCTTAAAATCGGGGCCTTACAAAAAAAGTAGCTTTCGTGTCATTAATTAATGTTTTCGTTCAACAAATATTTATTAGAGGCCTGTTCTGTCCCAGGCAGTGCAGTGGCAGGTTCCAGAGAATGTACTGGTGGAGCAAAGACAGCCACCGCTCCCTCCTCACAGGAGCCTTAACTAAATAATCACACAAACACATGTCGAGTCACAGCTGTGCCCTGCGGCGTGCAGGACACGCAGCTGGTGATTTGAGGGCACGTCATGGGGCCTGACTTTGCCTGGTGTCAGCAAAGCCTTCCCCTGAAGAGCTGGGGCTTGGGCTGAGAAGGAAGGGCTGGGGCAGGGTGAGCCACAGGGGCTGGGGGAGGCCGGAGCGAGGTCCGGGCAAAGGCCCTGGGCTGGGAGGGAACTCGCGTGTAGGAGAGGTTGCGAGAAGAGCTGTTTGGCTGAGGCCCACTGCAAGGGAGAGTGGCCTGAGGAAGGGGTAGCGGCCATGGTAAAGCACATTACAACCCCAAGAACAATAGGAAAGCCACAGAAATGGTTACCAGGCAGAGGGAAGTGTAGAGATGTTAGAAATAGCCTTCAGGCCCCGCCGTGCTGTGGGTGGGGTCAGGCCTCAGACACTACTCAGGTCCCTGCGTCGTCACTCTTGCTGACCATGGAGAGGGGCACCCGCTGTCCCTTCTCTGCCACCTTCCGCTGGCCCTTCCCACTGCCCTGGGTCCCCAACAAGAGCCAGGTGATACATAACTGTGACATCTGGGTTTTGTACACTGCACTCAGAACGAAGTTTCCTGGTTTGGGGAAGCATTGTTCAGAAAAAACTTGCAAGCAGCTAGATTTTCTTCCTTTAAAATGTGATGCATGTAAACAAGATTTCTGTAAAGATCATTTAACACGTGCTTCACACAGATGTCCTTTGCATTTGAGGAGGGTGTGCAGGTCCTGGTGTGCCCACTTTGTAATAGCCCCACCCTTGTAAAAAAAAGACAAGGAGTGATATCAGATGCAGTGGTTGGCGATCACACTGATAGAGACTATAAATATCATCCTGGGAAGAATAAAAAGATTTTTTACATAGTGGTGCTCAAAAGAGGGGTGAAAGGAAAAAGAAAAAGGAGATGCTGCAGGTGGCCTGTGACCAGTGCTGTGACAATTTCTGTACCCAGCATAGACATCCTCTGGACCACAGCTGCAGGCATGGGTGAGAAGGGACTCTCAGCTGTGACTGAGCTGGCTTAGAATACATGGTAACTTAAGTCGAACCAGCACAACCTCCAGGGTGGGGAACGGAACATCCTGGAGCGTGGCTCCATACTGAGTTGTGGATCTTAAATCTTTGCTGTTAGAGTTGGGGTGAATGTAATAAAATTAAATTCTAAATTTAAAAAAAAAGAAGAAGAAAGAAATTTCCTTCAAATAAGGTACCTCCCCACCAGCAATTCATG